CCTCAAAGTATGTGGAGAATAACAGCTGGGCTACAACCAACAGTTCTGTGGTCAAGTAAGTTTAGTGATGCTGGATAAACAGAGTTGATTAGGCCTTTTTTGAAAGAGATGTATCCTTGCTCTGTTACTGAATATGTTAAAGCTGTAATGAAAAACAAAAAAAAAATTAAAAATAAAAAAACCCCACACAAACAGCAAGAAGAACGTCTAAACAGTGGCTGCTATAATAACTTAACCTATGGGACAAAGAGGCAGTTCTTTAAAAAAGAAGTATGGGCCGGGCTTGGTGGCACATGCTTTTAATCCCAGCACTTGGGAGGCAGAGGCAGGCGGGTCTCTGTGAGTTCAAGGCCAGCCTAGTCTACATAGCAAATTCCAGGTTAGCTGGGGTTACAGGGAGACCCTGTCTCAAAAAGACCAAAAAAAAAGAAAAAAAAGAAAAAAAAAGAAGTATGTGCCTTCACTTAAGGAGGAGACAGAGGGCTGCACAGACCATGGGTACATGTTAAATAGATAAACCAATGGCCACAGTTTAAATGCTTGCATACCAACCAACTCTTGCATGCCTTTCTCCAACCCTCTTCCGTTTCTACCATACCCGTGACTACTTGGTCCTCTTTAGGCTTTCTATCCACCTTGACTCCTACATCTCCTATTGCTTTGTCCATCCTCCCTTCCCACTTACAAGGCCATGCCAAGTTCTCATCTCATTTCTCCCTTTCCTGGCATTTCATGCCATTAAGGGCCATTGTACCTTAGGTTAAGATGGGCTCCTGGAGTTTGGAAGTTTTTTCCTTCTTCCTGGATGATTCAGTCTTCATCATCCATTCTATACTTTCCGTGGAAAGCCCACATCCCTTCCATCACATCTGAGTCACACTGGAACTCACTCAATGTCAGTGATGCTTCCCTCACCATGAACACTGGGCCACTTCCACTGTCCTATAGCTCAGGATTTTGCACTTGTGGATTTTATGTTTTTGTATATGTTCTTCTCAGTCTTCTGACATGTCTGCTTCTGAGGTTAACCCTCAAGAGGGTTCTATGGTAGGAAACATGACTTATTGAACTGACTTACTTAAAATAATTTTTTTTGTTTTGTTTTCTTTTGGGGTACAAACGACTTTGAAATAAATATGCTTAGATCATTGTTGTCCACACATAATTCTGTAGAGAGTGCCAGCTTTCTTGATTCTCTGATATGTAGAATTTCAGTTGCCAGTGCTTAATTAAATAGCATCAGCTCCCTAACAATATGGTTCAAATTTCAGGTATATTAATAGCTAGTAATTGCAGGAAATACAAACTTTGCTGCTAGCCCAGCAGCCCACATAGGACTATGTAAATAACAGGTGTATCTCATACTCAGTAGCCAATCATATTACTTCTTTCAAAGTCTGTCAATTATTGACCAACACTAGTCTTTTACTTAGTTCATGCAAGGACAGCAAAGCATGTGTTCATATTGACGTTTTGTGTATCAGTGACATTTTACAACAATGGATAACTGAAACAGAAGTTGACTATTGAAGGATGAAAGTCCAGTAATGTTGAAAGTGAAATTCAAATAGAATGTAAATGGAGTTCTGGAAGAAACAGCTCACCGTGGGATTTCTACAGTGAAGTAGATTAAGATACGAGACCAGAGGAATTTAGTAAAGGGAGCTTTATGGACTTATGTGTGAGGGTGGTGGTGCCAGTGTGGATGGAGATGTCCCAGGGCATGCGACACAGTTGGAGAACTTCATGTGAAACTCATAAAGATGTTTTGTGATACTCTCAGTTCAAAGGTTATAATACTGGAAACCCATGTGAATTTAGAAAGGAATATGACAATTCTCCAAGGCATAGAAAAATCCTTACTCTGTAAATGTTACCAGAGAGAGATGAGTACTGTTTATTCTAGATAAATTTTACAAAACTGTAAAAGTTAAATTCTCTATTATCTTAATGTTTAAAATTACAGCGTACTGAATATAGATTAGTTCTACTAGTCTTTCTTCTGTTTATATATTGAGAATTCACAGGAAAAGAGTTTTTAAAAACGCTTTGGGTAGATATCTTAAATGTGTGTTTGTACCACCATCGCAGGTTCAGGAGAATTCCTCCAGGACCCTCTTCTATTCCTTATTCTGTCCATTTGTCTTTATTTTACTTATTGTTCATATATTCATTTAATAATTCCCCATTTTTGTAGACATGTTAGTTCCCCTTTAAGTACAGAGTATGTCCTAAGACCCCCAATGAATGTCTGAAACTGAAGATAGTACAGATTCCTTCCTTCCTTCCTTCCTTCCTTCCTTCCTTCCTTTCTTCCTTCCTTCCTTTCTTTCTCTCTCTCTCTCTCTCTCTATATATATATATGTGTGTGTGTATAGATAGATATCACTATTTTTTTATACCCATCATAACAAAAAGTCTAATTTTAAAAGCAGACACAAAGAGATTTGCAAAAAATCAGGAACAAAATTACATCAAAACAGCAATGAAACAGTTGTAGCAATATAATGCCATAAAAGTTATATGAATGTGGTCTTTCTATCTTATTTTTCTATACTCATGCTTCTTTTGGTGACAGAAAGTGCCTATGCATAAGGTACAACACCTTAGTGATGAGATGAAGTGAGCTGAATAGAGGAGTGTTGGGACAGAGCATTAGGCTACTCTGCAAAGCTTCCTTGAATGCAGGCAGAGCAGTATTGTGCCAGGGGATCTGATAACTGACAGCTGCTCTTATAACTGACAGGTAGCATATACGGCGTAGATACATGCAGACAAACGATTTATGTTCAGGGTGAGACAGAGCACAATGGTACATTCTATGATCACTCTATTGAGAACAGTGCGCAATTTAAAACGTATGAGTTACTATTTCTGCAATTTCACTTAATGTTTTCTAGCTGGCTGTGGGTAGCGAAAACTGAAAAATGAAAGCACGGAGAAGGGGAGGCCACTGTGACCTCACCTGCTGCATTTCAGTCTAACCCTTGCCATCGTCTCCTTTGTCTCCTTTTCTTTTGCAGTAAGGTAGACCTGCTGCCTCACTTCGCTCATCTACACTTCCTTTTTAGTTTTGTAGTCACTTGGTAGCAGCACTTCAAAAGCAGAGGTGGTGTCCACATGTCCAGTAGCTGACCTAGAGACCGGAACATGGTTAGAACTCAGGGTGCTTGAACAAATGAGTTAACAAAAGCTTACACCCACCATCCACCGTATTTCAGTCACCCGTTCCTCTTGTCATCTCTCACCCTGCCTCCCGTCAATACCACACCACCTTTCTGTACCTCCACCCAGCATCTGTTGTCCTTTGTATTTGCTGTAGTGGGTTGTATTCTAGGTAAAAGGGACTGCTGACTTTTCATCCACCCCGTTCCTTGTGCCTTTCCTCCTTGGAGGTACTTCCTTATGGCGGTCTTCCTCCTGGATATCCCCCTGCTCTGTCTTCCCTTTCCTTCTTTCAACACTGTTTAGTAATATTATACCATTTGCCCCATTCGCACCCCTGCCAAAGGCTTTCTCCATGAACCTCCTTCTAATCTGCAGCCCCTCCAATCACCCCAACCTTTCTCCTTTAAACACTGTAGAACTTACATTTGGTTCATGGAGAGTACCAGAGGTGGGCCATTTGTGTTGCTGTCATTGTCTTCTCTCCCACACACCCAAGGTCCCTGAAACAGTGCTTAGTCTTTCTTCTCTTTGGTGCTGAACATTTTGGCATATAGTCTGTGCCCAATGAATATTTTGTTGCATTGCCCTATAAGCTGACATTTCAGAGTGCTTTGAACAAAATAACAATCTCCCAAAAAAGGGAAGGATTGTTTTGTAGATTATTTTGGTCCTTTTCCTTCTAATCATCAAAAATCCTATTATTGATCTTAGAAGTTGTACACCAAATAAAGGCAAGAATCATGGGGAGTCAGGTGGTAAAATATTAGCACAGGAAAGATTTTGAGAGATTGATGTAGTCCAGTCCTGTAATTCTATAGATGAAAAACCTGATATCTACAAAGCTTACATGACCTCTTCAAATCATAGAACCAGCTCACAGCAAATCAGGTTCCGAATGTCATCACTTCACTTCAGTGCTCATTCCCACAAGCTGGCACAGTGCACATGAGGATGCTGTGTTGGGTTTATGTGTGTTATGTGCACCCATGTTGTCAATGCCCGAAGAGGTCAGAAGAGGGCGTTGGATCTCCTGGAACTAGAGTTGGTTGTTAGCCAGCATGTGGTTCTGGCAATCGAATCTGGGTCCTCTGAAAGAGCAGTCAGTGCTCTTAACTGATGAGCCATCTCTCCAGCCTGCCTCTATCTTTAAAAAAAGAATTATTTATTATTTTTATTTTATGTGTATGAGACTATTGTCTGCATGTACTTAAGTGTATCAGTGTCATTTATGCCTGTGGAGGTCGGTAGAGGGTGTTGGATCTCCTGGAACTGGAGTCACAGGTGGTTGTTAGCTGCCATGTGGGTGCTGGGAACTGAACCTGGATTCTCTGCAGGAGCAGCCAGTACTCTTAATCACTGAACCATCTCTCCAGCCCCAGATTTCTCTCTATCTTTTAAGCATTACCATTTTTTGGCTAATTTGTTTGTACTAGCTGAGGAATTTCCTTATTCAGTAACTTTGGATAATCTAGAAATGTGGACATTGAAGTAATTATGACTGAAGTTTATCATGCTTTTAGAGTAGTACATAAATCAAAAGTGTACTGTTTGAAAAATTTAAAAAGTTAACCCATTCCAGTGGGTTGATCCAGCCAGATTCAGAAATACCAGCTCTAGCAAAGTTAGAAATATTGAAAGAAATGAGGGCTGTGGGGAAATAGAAGGACTTTAAAAGTAGCTAATAGTCTATTTTCTCTCCTTACAGGTTTTATCAGTATGTGTGTTAACAACAATCCTTGGTTGTATATTTGGGTTGAAGCCAAGCTGTGCCAAAGATGGTAATTATTTCTATGGTGTATGTGAATGCATGTGTGTGTATATGTGTGTCTGTGTATTTATGTACCTTTATTGTGTGTCTGTGTGTGCATGTGCATATATGTGTGTATCTGTATGTGCATGTGTGTATTCAGCCACAGTATGATTGAGTATAATTCCTGAGTCCTGTGTGTACCCCACAGATACTGAAAATTTGATGTTTATTGTGGATTTGAACCTTCTTCTTGCAGCTCCTACAAAATTTTATTTACTTACAAAACATTATCTCAAACATAGAAGAAGATTAAAAAACCAATTCCCATAAAGAAATGTGAAGACATGGCCACCAGTTCCCATGTGGGGCCCCTGGAGCCCTCTCTCTAACTTCTGAAGGAACCTTTGGAACACTGTGCCTGAGCCCCCAAGGAGTTGGTTACTAAAGCAACTCTGGAGGTTACTAGGTGACCAGTTAGCATCCCCAGGCGACTACAATCTCTGAATGTTTTGAATTTTCAGCCATTGCTAGTTTCAAAGTGGTAGTGAAACTGTCACACTTCTAATTATGTTTTCTTTAGATCAAAACCTGAAATCTATCCAGCACTGACAATTTACTATATAAATAATGAAAGTGAATCACAGTAAATTTAATCTTTCAGTTCTGTGGTTCTCTTCCTTCCTAGTCATATGGATGACTTTCTTTTGTAATTCAGTTTTCAAAATTGAATAATTTTTTTCCTGTTCCACTATCCCGTTTTTAGAATATTACTCATTTAAAAATGTTTAGTGATTAAACAAGCAGACAGCTGGAGAGATGACTCAGTGGTTAAGAGCACTTGCTGCTCTTGCAGAGGACCAGAGTTCTATTCCTAGCACCTACATGGCAGCTAACAACTGTCAGTAACTAGTTCCAGGGAATCCAGTGCCTCTTCTGGCTTCCTCGGGCATTGCACACACATGGCACACTTACATCCATACAGGCAAAGCACTCATATACATAAAATAAAATAAAAAATTCTAAAAAATATTTAGTGATTATTTGAAATACAGCAATTTTATTTATCTAGTCAGGACATGTAAGAGCAAATATATCCAAATTTAATAAAAGTAAAAACTTAGGGTTTAGTATTCACCTATGTAAGCTATTCTAAATAAGAAGTAATTCATCTTGCGTTCAATTTGACACATCAAGATAAAGGATTGAAATTAGTTTTAATCTAAGCTCAACATAGTATGTGTTATAATTTAAAAATTGCTACTACGTACATATTTATGAGCTCCCAGTATTAACTGTTGCTGTAATGACCACCTCCCTCCTGAGGCAGGAAAGTTAGGATTTCTTCCTGACTCTAGAAATGATTGTTACTATTTGTCTGTAAAGTTGCCTAGTTTCCAAGCAGCAAATGTGAATTAAATTCCCGGACAGGTCTTGGCTCAGGAGCATTAGCTTAGCAATGTTGTGATTGGAAGTATCCAACTTGTTCCCAATTTTCAGTAAGAAGCTGTAAAGGCCGCTGCTTTGAGAGGACATTTGGGACCTGCCGCTGCGACGCCAACTGTGTCAACCTCGGAAACTGCTGTCTAGATTTCCAGGAGATGTGTTTGGACCCTGGTAAACCTGGGCAAGGAAAGGGGTGGCCCAAGGGTGGTAGGAAAAGGTCACAATCCACTTCGTGAGGCCCCTGAGTTGCCTGACTCATTCCAGCATTTCTCTTTCTGATTTAGCATTGACATAGGTTTTGACAATGGCCTTTGCATTTCAGCAGCTCTGTGAAGAAAAAGTTCATGTAACTTACTTTGCACTTTATTAAACATTTTATGGATAACAAATTAGGTCTATTTTAATGTATGCTGAAGCATTTGTGTCCTGATTTGCTTAAATATGTGAATATTTTCATTATGGACCTATTAAAGGAGTGCTTGGTTATTCACTTATGCTTTAAAACAAAACTATCAACATAGGAAAAGCTCAGTTTCATTTGAAGAGGACATGAATGACATTGCGACAGGGAGTGGATCAAATTTATTTTTCTTTTTTGAGGCAAGGTCTTGCTGTGTAGCCCTAGCTGACCTTTAACTTACTTGTCATCCAACTGCCTCTGCTTCCTGAATGTTGGGGTACAGTAGTTTCCCATCATATATGGCTTTAGATTAAAATTTGAGAACCCTGAAAATGGCTGGTGGGAAAACCCAAGGTTTTTCTATGAATTGTGTGATAATAATTATGTGCCCAAGTTTTTTTCTTTTTTCTTTTTTTTTTTTTTTTTTTGTGCTTTTTGAGACAGGGTCTCCCTGTAGCCCCAGCTGTCCTGGAACTCACTATGTAGACCAGGCTGGCCTCCAACTCACAGAGATCCTCCTGCTTCTACCTCCTGGGTGCTGTGATTAAAAGTATGCACCACCATGCCCAGCTTGTGACCAAGTTTTAAATAATGAAATGCTGAGTTTCTAGTGAAATAATAACAATTGGTACCTTCATGTCTGCTGTCAGTTCAGAGAGTGACTGTAGTGGTGACAGAATCCAAGTGACTCATGAAATATTTCATTGTCTCCATTGCCTATCTAAAATGGTGAAAATTTGTCTTCACTTTGGATATGTTGAACTTGAATCATAAACATGTTTTGTTGATGATTGTTTTTAGAACATATATGGACTTGCAACAAATTCAGGTGTGGTGAGAAAAGGTTATCCAGAAACTTGTGTTCCTGTTCAGATGACTGCAAGGCCCACAATGACTGCTGCATCAACTACAGTTCTGTGTGTCAAGGTCAGGCTCTGAACTCGCTGGGCTCTCTGGAAGCCTGGTATCTTCATAAGCCTTTCAGGGTTGTTACCTAGGAGTTGTCTTTGTTGTATTTATTGGCTCTCTATTGGCAGTTGTATTGATGGGCCAATTTTATTTGATGGAAGACTTATAAAATGTTTTATTAAAGAATGTTTCAAACATAGACATGAACCGAGAATGTCTAATGAAGTGGACTTAATGTCTGTCATCCTGCTTGACACTAATTGTCTGTGTGTGGCTGTTCTTATTTTAACTGTAATCACTCTTTGCTGTCCTCTCCATGCCATTCTGATAATAGTTTCATACTTAAAACTGTGTTTGTTGAAGTGTCCTCTTCCAGTTCTGGCTGATAGTTATGTCCCAGCTTTCCTTGTAGTAAATGAGGATTGTGCCTGCTATACACTGCCAGAACCAATGTGAAATTACCCTGAGAAATTATTTCTTCAGTGGACCATTCTGCGATGTCTTGTTCAAGAGTTCCAGGGGTTCTTGAAATTTCTTAGCAGAACCTGACTCAAAATGAATTAGAACTAAAACATTAAAATACCAATTTTGTAGGGTGGTTGAGAGAAGAGTGTTATAAATTCTGACTGAAAATATTAAGATTTTGAAAATGAAAAAGGTATCCAAGTTCTCACAAAGATACTATAATTGCCCCTTGTGTCTATGGGATCAGTTTCTAGAATCTCCTCAGACCCTAAAACCCAACAGTGCTGAAGTCCCTCATATAAATGGCGTAGCATTTGCACAGAGCTTGTGCCTTTCTTCACATGCTCTTTAAATAATACACGATTCCTTACAGTACCTGTGCAATGTAAGTAAGTGCTGTGCAAATAGTTGTTGATGGTACTATTTAGGAAGTAACAAAAGAATGGTTTGTAATATTCAGAACAGATATAAATTTAAAAAATAGTTATGAACCACAGCTGGTTGAATCTGTGTATGTAGAACTCTGGGTTACAAGGAGGCTGACTGTAGTCTATTTTAATCTTGAAATGGTATATTTATTTTTCTTCTTGATGTGAACTGTTATTTTGAAACAGAATAAGTCTTTTTATTCATTATATTTCTCTTCAGTGCCTCATGATGTCTATATGTTTTGTTTTTGGAATCTGTCTTAATATGTCTGATATGCATGGCAGTTACTGTCATTGTTAAGTATGCCTACTTCATATTTCAGATACGAAAAGTTGGGTGGAAGAAACTTGTGAGAGCATTAATGCACCAGAGTGTCCGGAAGGGTAAGATCAGATTCTGAGACACATGCATTCTTTTCTGCTTTAGAAGGACCATTTTTTCTCTTTCTAAGTTAAGGTGATTAAAAATGATGATCAGTCATTGGTTCACTAAACATTAGTTTTTACCAGATCTTGGGTCTGGCGCTGGTGGTACAGAGAGGCTTGTGGTGTGACCCACCTGCTCTGGAAGCTAGTGGAAAAAGACATGTCCTGAATATTTAGCGTTTATTACTCTTGACTGCTGATGGAAGTGTTTGTTGCCTTCTTTAGGAAGGAAGCATCCTTACCTTCTTTGGGAGATTTGAGAGTGGAACTTGTGTTGGGTGTGGTTGTGCACGCCTTTAATCCCAGCAGATCTCTGTGAGTTCAAGGCCAGTTTAGTTTACATAATGAGTTCCAGGACAGTCTCAAAAAGACCAAAAAAAAAAAAAAAAGAGAGTGGAACTTGTATTAAATTACTGAGTCTTTGTATTTTATTTTTTTGTAATTTTATATAATTTTGGAATATGTAACATCTGTGAGAAGAAGTTGCATGAGTTTTATAATTCATCTTTGTTCTTTTTGTTTTTAAAATATTTTGCAGAGTAAATTACATATGCTAGACCATGACAGAGAACCTTTAAAAAATTTTTAATTTTTAAAATTTTATGTGTATGAGTGTATTGCCTGCATGTATGTGAATGCACCCATGTGATGCAATAACCGTGGAGATCAGAAGAGGGCACCAGATCCCCTGGAACTGAAGTTATGGACGGTTGTTAGTTTCTAGTGGGTGCTAGGAACCTGGGTCCTCTGCAAGAGCAGCCATTGCTCTTAACCACTGAACCATCTTTCCAGCCCTGACAGAGAAAATTAAGGAATTGCAGGATAGATATTTTCTAAAGGCATTAGGAATATTTATAGTTAGTGAATTATTTCATCTTAATATATGCATATATATATGTAAATATATTTTAAACAGGGTCTCATTATGTAGCCCTGGGTGGCCCTGAACTCAGAGTTCACCTACTTCTGCCTCCTGAGTACTAGGATTAAAGGCATGTGCCATCATGTCCAGCTCAAGAAATATAATTCTGCCTATTTAACATAATGAGCCTTCCAAACTCAAAAACATTATAAACCTATATTTTAGTTTATTTTGCTCATTTATGAAATTTATTTTGTCACACATGTTCTTTGTTTAAAGCAGTAGTAATGATGACAAAAAACTAAATCTAAACCAAATAATTTCATCAAAAGAGTCTTTTAAAAAAAAAAAAAGATGTAAAGAAAAAAGGATTTCTCATATACTCTAAGCTGATTCCCTGCCAAGGTACACTAGAAATTTTAGACTTGGTGAATTTTGACTTTTCCTTCTAAACGTTGATCATTATTTTTCAAATGTAAATCCTTTAATGGAAAATATAACTCCTGTCATAATTTAGAACATCTTTTTCTGGGTATTATTATGCCAGTGTATTTACCTAGTGTTCACTAAGCTCTTTTTATGTGTGCTGTCGATTGGTGTGATTTTGTACAGAGACTGAGACTATGCACAACAGTTTGTGCTATCTCCCAAACAAGCTACGTTATAGACAGTAGCGAGTGAAAATGGTATAATGCTGCTCTTTTTGTGAGCTTGCTTTTATGTTTGGGTGTTGAGGGTAAGATGGGAGGTAGTATGGTTAAAATGGTAAGATAAAGAAAATATTTGCACTCAGATTTTAAATTACTGAGAAACTGTCAGTAGAAAGTCTTCACAGTTACCCAGTAATACAGCTCCCCTACCCTCTACCAAGTAAAGCTAGAAGCAATAAAATTCCTGAACTGTGACTGTTTTGAGAATTCATAGTTACTCTTTTGCTGAGTACATATGCCCCATTACATATGGCATTTTACCTCCCTGTTTGACTTTCCACAACATATTCTCTCTCTGTTTCTCTATCTCTGTCTCTCCCTGTGACATCATTTAATTATTCTTAGCTCTAAGTAATTTCTTTCTTGTTTCAATATTTGAATATAATAAACATCTCTCAAACTTTTGCATCAAATAATTACATCTTTAAAACATATGGAGCTTAAAATTAAATATAAAGCTAGTGGTACAGCTTAGTGGGAAACAGTTGCCTAGCATTAGCAAGGACCTGGGTTTGGTCCTCAGCCTGAAAAAAGGGAAAACCACAAGCCTAAACATAACATATATTTTATGCCTAATGGAGCACTATTTACTGAGGTAGAGACAGCAGGTGTTGGGAAAATGAATTAATGGAAAAAAATGTAAGGCAATGCTATTTACTGACATTGATTTTCTTATAAATTATGGAACTCTTATGAATTATATTTTAGTAGCATTTGACCAAACTTTTAGAATGGCAGGAACCATGATTGACAATTTCTGTGCAGTAGCTCAAAGTGATCCAAATGCTTAATAAGTACTATTGATAGACACGTGTGTATTATGCATTGATAACCCATGTGTAAGAATGTAAATGCAAGTCAGATCTCCTTCTCGAGTGTTCTTGCTGACTTGTCAGTTTTCTTCAGGTTGCATCTGAGCTCAGTGAGAAAACCTCACTGGAGTGGAGCCGGGGAAGGAGCGTGTCTTTATTGGATGTGTCTTCTTTTTGCCTCCTAAAACAATTCTTTCTCTCATTACCAGGTTTGACTCCCCTCCTACCCTCTTATTTTCTTTGGATGGATTCAGGGCTGAGTATTTACACACTTGGGGTGGACTTCTTCCTGTTATTAGCAAACTAAGTGAGTAACCAGAGTTCACTACTAGACTGTCACGATTTGGGAGATCAATGAGGAAGGCAGGTTTCTTGGAAAAGTACTGGGAAAGTCTTGCTCTTTTACCAAATTTCTCCATTTAGAATTGGTAAACTTATTGAGAGGGCTCCAGCATTAATAATGTGGCTATGCAGACGCTGCCCTGAAAGTATTTCAAAGCTCATCAGTTATCTTGACATTTTAACCCTTGACCCTGTTACACATTTATTTTTTCTTAGAATTTTAGGTTCTTGTAGAAAAATATTTTACTTATCTGCTTCCTGAATATTCACATTAAAAATAGAATTTTTTGAAGCTGAAAGTTTTGGAAACTGATGCAGTACTCATGGACTAGTACTGCTATTTAGTTATCCTCCACTAGCATTTGGTTCAAATTGAGTATATTTTAAACTTTTTATTTTTTATTTATTTATTTATTGAAACAAGGCCTCGTCTATTCTAGGCTGACCTAAGACTTGCTGTGTAGCTAAGGATGACCTTGAATATCTGATCTTCTTGCTTCACCTCCTGAGTGCTGACAAGTACAGCCGTGCCCACCTTCAATTTCTTTCTCTTAATCAAGGCTTTCATTGAATAATTACTCTTCAGGTTTCTGGTAAAACAGTAGGATAGTCTGAATATTGAAGCTGAAGTGTTAAATCCTATTAATAGTCAACACTGTGGGTGTGAACTACATCATTATCAAAGGAGGGAAACCCTCGTATGGATACAAAACTGTTGATGTCTGTAGTTGTCAGTGCTTAATATGTAATAGCTGTAGTGTGCAACTGAGCCGAATACAAGTAGACAAATGCAGTAATGCGCTTTTAGAATTCTAAAATATTTCCTGGTCTAGTATAATGGAGTATATTGGAATGTTTGAAACATTAAACTCACTCTCAGTAAATGCATCTGTATATCATTATATATGCTTGTGTTAACTTCAAAATTTTCAGTTTTTAATGCCTACCTAGTAGATAATAGTTTCTGTTTTTTCTTTTGAAACAGGGTTTCACTGTAGCCCCAGCTGGCCTGGAAGTCACTATGTAGACAGGCTGGCCTCAAACTCATAGAGATCCACCTGCCTCTGCCTCCCAAGCATTGGGATTAAAGGGGTGTGCCACCATGCCTGGCAGATAATAGTTTTTTTGAACAGTCATTTGGCATAAAAATATCTTTACAGAGACAAAACTCTGTTCTTACCAGCAGGCCCATGGATTTGCATGTTTTAATATTTTATTACTTTATGTAATGAGTGTATTGCCTGCATGTATGTAAGTATTGTGCAACATCCAGGGAAGTCAGAAGAGGGTGTTGGATCCCCTGGAACTGGAGTTATGGATGGTTGTTAGCTGCCATGTAAGTGTTGGGAACCCAACCTGGGTTCTCTGCAAGAACAACCAGTGCTCTTAACCACTGAGCCATCTCTCCAGCCCCAGCTTTGCAGGTTTTAGCCAGCCCTTTGTTACCATCCTGAGGAGACTTTGTCTCCATAGTAACAAACATGTCATTCCAAGTTCAATATTAAGAAACTGTCAATACCCCCAATGTGTGAAATTTAAACAAAATCAAGACACAGTTCACCTAAGCTACAGCACTGGATAGCTAGGAATGTGGTGTGGGGCTCAGATTCCTTAGAAGGCCATGAGCTATGTTGATGGATGCAAATATGGGAAACATTTTCAGGTGATACATATTGAAATACTGGAATCACTAGTTATATGTTCCTTCCCAAACAGTAGAGACTTCAGAAGAATGAGCCATCAGGGTTAACCTGAGGGAAGGTATCTATTAGGAGCATCTGTTTTATGCTTCCCCTGACTTGAAATCAAATTGATGTGCTTTTTGTCTTTAAGGTAGCTAAGCTCATTCAGAAGTAGCTGGTCATGACTCTGTAGCCTGGGATGTTCTCACCCATCCTGTGGCTTCTCCTTAGTCTGCAGGTTTTTAGCTGTTAGTGAAGCCTGTTTTTCTTACCATCTCTTGTAATTTAGGTGTTTGATCTCTAAGTAACAAGACCTTGTAAGCATCATGTTATTACAAATTGTTCATATAAAACAATGTTATTGATAAATTTCGGATAAGTTGACTTAGTTACTTTGCTTACTGCTTTTCTGACTAAGAGAAAAAATAGGACTGGGGATGTGGCTCAATTGGTAAAGTGCATGCCTGAAGCCCTGGGTTTCATCTCCAGCACTATATAAACCAGGCATGGTGGTGTACAACTATAATCCCAGTAGGATAGCAAGATGTAGGGGCAGGAGGACCAGAAGTTCAAGTTCACCTTGTTTATATAGTAAATTCCAGGCCAGCTTAAGTTATGTGAGACTCTGTCTTAATGACAGAGAGAGGGAGAGAGAGAAGAAAAGAAAGAGGGGTAGAGACAGAACGGGGAAGGAGAGATCTTTATCTTCAACACTAAATCTGTAGTCATTGGGTTGCAGTTTGCCAGGTGTGCCTGGTAACAATGTTTGTTTGTTTATTTATTTACTTATTTATTTATTTATTTTCTGTCTAGAAAACTGTGGAACATATACGAAGAACATGAGACCCGTATATCCTACCAAAACTTTTCCCAATCATTACAGCATTGTCACAGTGAGTGAAGAATTCAGTTTCTTTGTGTTCTTAGGAGGGAGATGTAATTAGGGCATTTTCCAGGAGAATAATTCAATTTCAGATCGGGAGCAAAATAACTTGTTTCCCAATGTGAGCTAAAGTCTGCATGTGCCCTTCTTTAGGGACTGTATCCAGAATCCCATGGCATAATCGACAATAAGATGTATGACCCCAAGATGAACGCTTCCTTTACCCTTAAAAGTAAAGAGAAATTCAATCCTGCGTGGTACAAAGGAGAGCCAGTAAGTTCTTTGTTTTGGCCTCTAAAATCATTTGTTATTATTACTTATTTTAATCAGAGTGAAATAAGCATATTCCATGAAGATTTTAATAACGGATTTCATTTCCTTATATCTGTGGCCATCTTTTCAGAAATGGAGGTGAATATTGATCATTTCATGTGGTTCGTTTGATTGCGTAAGTTAAGAGTAGTTTGTTTGGGAGCTGGATTTGGGTTGTACTAAGTCATTTTTCTTTTAGCTTGAGTCTTCTTTCTTGTAGTAGTAGTAATAGTCTGGCATGATAGTTTTTATTATTATCATATTTTATGTATTTGTGGTATATATTGTGATATTTTGATATGTGTACGTACTGCATACTGATCAAACCAGAGTAGTTTACATTTTTCAACTTCCTAAAAATTTAGTATTTTTGATTAACACAAAGATAAGGAGGTAGAAATGTTAACTACCATGATTTGATCAGTATGATTTATAGACAAGTATTGAAATATTATAGTTTCTCATAAATGTACATAGTTAATACCAGGGAATAATTTTGATCTTCACAAAGCTGCTTTGGTTTTGAGTGAGGTGAGCCTTAATTTTGTTTGTATATATGCCAATTTAGAAGATTCTTTTTAAATTATAATTTAGATGTGATCTATTTTTTCATTTTAATTGTGATACTAATTACACAGTGTCTGTTTCAATAATCTTGATATTTCTCTCAGAAGGAAAAGAGTATGCTAGTAAATGTATGTAGGTTATAAATTAAGGTTTTTGCATTGGCATTTACAGCTGTGAGACTCTGGACAAGTCTCCTTTTTCTGTGTCTGCAATATAGGTAATACTGTTTTAATAGGGTTGTATAAAGATTATTTACATATAATAATAATCTTTATAATGTAGGATAATGTAGGATTCTCATAGGAATACTGTTTAGACCTGTGACTGGAGTAATGAATGCTTAGCGTTAATATTAGTTATATTTGCAAAACGATCAGTAGATGAATCAGTATTTATGAACTTTTCTTCCTTTTGGAGAAACCTATGGTTTAGAGTTGTAGTTCTAAAAGTTGTAGGAGTTGACAGCTGATTTGAGTTCATCTTTTGTAGTTTAATTTAGTCTGTATTTAATTTTTTGTTTGCTGGAGTATATCGTATTTTATGATTTTAGTAGTTTAATTTCTGGAGCTTAATGACTGGTGACAGATGCCACATTGCAGCAGTGCCTGAAAAGACAACCTGACTCTTAGTATCCATCAAAGCTAAGAGTGATCTTGATCCATTCTGAGAACTTGTTCCTTCTGATTTCTCTTGGAAGTGTCACCCGAAATAAAAGGATTTGCTGTCTCTTATTGAAATAGTACATCAGGCATCATATGGAAAACGAGAAATTTGTCTTATTAGAGGAGTTTTCCCCTTCTGGCCCCCACTAACCTAAAACAGCACATACAATCACAAACAGATATTATAAATAATCCCACTTGTTGTTTACAGCACAAAGGTGATAATATTTCAAATATTTCAATAATATTTGCTGCTTTCAGTGCTTGATATTTTACAACATATATGCACACATACATTATGGGTCCAGCAGAAGGAAGCATCATGAAAAATTAAAGCTATATGTTTAGGTGATAAGAAGAGCCCCAGGGCCTAGTAAGGTTGTTTACACTGTAAACAAGCTGAGATAATGCTGACATCTCAAAACACAAGATTAACTTTGGTTATAAGGTTAGGTTAGTTTCTGTTTATAACAGAGGCCTTCCTAGAAGTCATCCCACAGTTGACCTTAAAAAATTATAGCACTTAAAAGGAATATACTGCTGTTTCATGAACATTTAGTCTCCTAAGAGGTGAATGTCTTCATGGTATCTTAACTTTGCTCCATTCTCTTCTCCAGATATGGGTCACGGGGAATTATCAGCAGATCAAGTCTGGCACATATTTCTGGCCAGGATCAGATGTAGAAATTAATGGAATTCTTCCAAATATCTACAAAGTATATAATGGGTAGGTATAGATGAACTTTCCCTAGGTTCTAGCATGTAGAACAGCTTATATTTCTTGTGTCCTCTTCTTTTTGTTGAGTCCTGAACTCTAGCATTTGAATGATGCTGTGAAGTCAGGGGTTTTAGAATAGGAGCTGTTTTACAGAGTTTTGGATGAATGGTAAAAAGTAAAATTAATAATGTATTTTGAAGAAATTATGACAAAATGATGTGTCCAGATCTTTGGGCAGCAATAAAAAATGAGGTCCTACTGGGTATGATAGTGCAAGGCTGTAATTCTAGTACTTGGGTGGCTAAGGCAGGAGGATTATGAGTTTCTCAGCCTAGGTTACATAGTAAGTTCAAAGCCAGTTCGTGTGAATCCAAGATGGGCCTGAGACCATAGTGAGACCCTGTCTCAAAAAAACAAGATAATGAAAATAAAGAAAGGAAAGAGAAAGATCAGAGACAGGGACAGAGAGAGACAGAGACAGACATACAGAGAGAGAGAGAGAGAGAGAGAGAGAGAGAGAGATCACAATAAAAGTGGAGCTCTGTCTGTGGAGACTACATATTTTAACCCTAGGAAGGGAAAGAACTAGGAGAAGGAAAGGATGTGCGTATTTAAAGATACACAGAGGAACTGTTACACCATAGTGGTGTCTGGAATAGTATTTAAAAGAAGATAATATATGTGATATCTTTGGAATATATTTGCTTTATAATGTAAGAAATTTATTAGGATAGCCTCCTCGTGATATTCAGTCACTAATGTATTGAGGAAAGATAAAAACATTAAGAAAGACGTTCATGGGTTGATTTTAGCAAGACTGCCCAAGTAATCTGTTTTATACTTCTGAAATTCGCTCTGCAAAAGCTGTACAATAAACTTGTCAAAATGTTTGCCACAAACCCCAGGCTAGAAAATGACAGCCATCTTCTGCTACTGTGTGTTCTGTATGGTTCACACAAACACAGTCTGTCTCTCCCCCTGTTGTTTTCATCCCATGTATGAAATTGTTGGTCAATGGCATTTGATATGTTAAGCACCGTGCTGGCATGTGGGATTAAAAGATTAGTGAGGAATATGCTATAGTTTTTCAAGATCTAGTATAAAGTATATAATTGTACCTAGGATTGGGCAAGGGAGTTGGAACTGGAGTTACAGGCAGTTGTGAGCCACTTGACATGGGTGCTGGGAACTAAACTCGGTTTGTCTGGAACAGTAGCAAGTGTTTTAACCATTGAACCATCTCTCTAAATCCAGAAAACAAAATTTTAAACCCAATTGAAACTTTCATTCAAATAAAGTTAAATTTTGTTTTTCATTAAAGAAGCAAATTTAAGTTAGAAAAATACAACTCTTTTTGGAGAGGTGTGGGGTGGGACAGGGTCTTGCTGTGTAGCCCGGTCTGGCTTCAAACCCACAATCCTTTTCATTAGCTTCTTGAGTACTGGGATTACAGAGTGACAAATAAAACACAAAAGACCTTGGCTCACATTAGTATCACTTAATTTCCATTAAGAAAAACATTTATATTTCACATACAATTTTTGCAGATTTGTTTTAATTTGCTTATTTTTAATTTCAGTTCAGTTCCATTTGAAGAAAGAATTGTAAGTATTCTTCAATGGCTAAAACTTCCTAGTGATGAAAGGTACGTAGACAGTTACTTTCAAGTATAAATACTCTTTTTGTTTTATAGACACTATGTACTTCTTTTAAAAAATAGACTACAGGAACTAGAGATATGGCTCAGTGGTTAAGAGCACTGGCTGTTCTTACAAAGGGTTCAGTTCCCAGCACCCACATGGTGACTAACAACCATCCATAACTCCAGTTCCAGGAGATCTGATGCCCTCTTCTGACCTCCATGGGCACTATGTGACATGGGTACACCTACCTGCATGCAGGCAATACACTCATATACATAAAATTTAAAAAAATTAAAAAAATAGACTACAAGACTGATATGCTGTCTTATAGCCAAATAAACTCTTTAGTGAACTATTGCAGCTTTATTTGAAAACTCTTACACCTGTAAATTATCTATCAGAGGTTTAATAATGTTACCCTGGTGCTATAGGATTTTTAAACAGGATCAACTGTTGGATTATTCTTTTCATTCTGTTTTTCAATGTGTTCGTAAAATATTACATTTTTGATACTGTTTGATTTAGACCACAATTTTACACTCTGTATTTAGAAGAACCAGATTCCTCAGGGCATTCACATGGACCAGTCAGCAGTGAGGTAAGTATATTTTTATCAATGATTGCTTCATGAAACCTAGTATTATCCAACTGAACTATGCTTTGGAGGAGTCTTCTGGAACATTCTGTAAGTTAGTATGATTTCTGGAAAAAGTGAGCATTACCCACAACTGAACTTAGCTAAAGAGTATACTTTAAACAAAGTTAGGAGAATTGTTTTTGCTTATGTTTTTAGTGCTGAACTGATAAATTATGTATTTCAATTCTGAATCCTTTATCACTCCATACTCCCCTTCTTTGCCCCTAAACCTGCGTGCTTTATGAAAAGTTTTTCAGTATCTGAGACTCCAAATTTCTATGACAATGTAGAATAGTGAGTCACATAGTAGAAACAGCCTCTTCCAGGTCTCCTCATTAGGAGATATTCACTTGCTGCCTGAAAGGCATGCTTACTACAGCACTGACACTGAGGAATGGAAGGTGTTATCAAAAGTAACGAAGTTGGCAAATAATCCTTGTTTATTGAGTGGTTACCCTGAAACTACAGGTGGGCAAGCAGCCCAGGGACTAAAGATCATAACGGGAATTTTCTTTGATCTGCCACTAATTCGAAACCATCAGATCCTGGTCATGGTCACCACCACTTAAAGTAACACTGCTTTCAGAGGTCACATGGCCATGGCATTTCTGTATCATGGAGTACAGGAAGCATTGGCATCCAAAATGATTTGAGTGTCTTCTGCTGTACTTCTCAGTTGGCTGTTCTTCTGATACTTGTTTTATCTGTGACCTAAGAGTCAAGTTGAAATACAAAATAAGTACATGGAAATACTGTTGGTCACAATGAAAGGGAAAAGAGGTATTGCCAGGTCTAGCTGTCTTTTGCCTCCTATGAGTCTAAAGGACAAGAGACCAGAAACTTATACTCTTTCTTAGTTGCTAAGGTTTACCCCCAAATTCATGATGGTTTCCCATTCAGCTGACCAGGGCTTGATAGTTTGTGAGTGTCAAGGAGTCTGCATCACAGATCCAGATGAAAGCCAGGCCTGACATGCCCATTGTGAGTTCTGTTTTGGGGTATTCCTGTTTGTGCTACTTGGTGCACTATTGCTAACTGTAGTAAGAAGGGTGGAAACCAAAGCATATTCAGTTTTTTTCAGTTGAAGTTCAACAACTGCATAGACCACCTTGCCTTGATTTCCCTGACCCTGTGTCTGCCTAGACTTGCCCCTCTGAAAGGGTAGATACTACTTTCTGTCAATTTCACATGAGACAAAAGAGAGGGAAGCTATAGGAAGACTGGCCCTCACCTAGGTCTGTTTCTGTCTTCATACATACTTCATAATCTTTCCGCCGAAGTATTCTTCCATATTCCTCCATCAGCCCTATGCTAGTCTGTAGCCGCTTCGTGCCATGCTTTGACTCTGTCCTCTGAAATGCTCCCTGCTAGAGGTGTGGTTGTGAAGATGCGTGCCCCAAACCTGACCATGTCACAAATGGTTATTGCTGATTTGACCACTTGACCAGGCAGCCAGTGTAATTGTGATTTGACCACTTGACCAGGCAGCCAGTGTAATTGTGATTTGACCACTTGACCAGGCAGCCAGTGTAATTGTGATTTGACCACTTGACCAGGCAGCCAGTGTAATTGTGATTTGACCACTTGACCAGGCAGCCAGTGTAATTTTTATTATTTCACTTCAGGCAATGATGCCTAAGACACATGACTCAATCAATTTGATTAAAAAAAAAAACAAAACAAAGCAAAAACTCCAAAGGACATTTTGCAGTTGTAAGTTAGGAGAACTCATGTAAGTTGGGTGTTTTGCTTGCATGTACGTAAGTGCACCACAAGCATGTAGTGCCCATGGAGGCCAGAAGAGGATGTTGGATCCCCTGGAGCTGGAACTACAAAAGGTTGTTAGTGGTTATGTGGGTGCTGGGAACCAAACCTGGGTCCTCTAGAAAAAAGTAAGTACTTTTAACCATGGAACCATCTCTCTAGCCCCAAACCCACATTATATTTAAAAGTTCAAATTTGAAATTCATATTGTTTGGCTGTTTCAGCGAAGGAAAGACCACATTGAGGAAGCCTGTCTCATTGAAGTAAAATATACGTTATAAAAGAAGTTTAAGCTGATTGGATAGATTACAGAAAACACAGGCAAAACTGAACAAGAATTTTCCTTATGTGGCTTTATAAGGAAAGGAAAATTTAATGCCAGAAAGCAGCTTACCCAAACTACTGGCCATTCTGTGCCCTTGAACTATTCATATGCAAAATATATGCAGCTTGTAAGGAAATAAGGGGTTCCAATCCTAAGAGCTTTGAATGGAACTAGAAGCATTTCATACATGATTTCACTACTTTTGGAAAATTAGGAAACATTGTACTTACAGAGTGACTGTTTAAATTATTTAATAGTTCAAGGAGAAATTGATGATAAAAAATAGAATGGTAATTGAGAATGCATTGGTTTCTGCCCCAACACTACAGTCTTGAGCTGGTATTATTTTGGCTTAAAGTAGATCTAGTTTAAGAAGAAGCACTTAAATCTCCAGAGAGAAAGCACATTGGACCAGCTAATATCACCCCCAAATGTATGGTTGAGCAGATACAGAATTTCAGTCTTTCTATTTTTAATAATTAGCAGTTATTCCATGATTCTTGACCTGTGTTGGTCTAATGTGAACTGTCATAGTTGTATTTCCTATCTCCCTTCCTCCCCTTCTCCCTCCCACATTTGTTGGTTTGTTTCTTTTTTTTAAAATGGGGCTTTGTATAGAAATAGCCTTCAGTATGGAATGTATTACGAGATTGCTGCTTCCCATTCTTAGGTCATCAAAGCCTTGCAGAGGGTTGATAACATGGTTGGCATGCTGATGAATGGCCTGAAGGACCTGAGCCTAGATAAATGCCTGAACCTCATCCTTATTTCAGATCATGGTAATCTGAGTTTTTAACATTTGCTCTTCTTGGTTAAATGGTGTTTTAAAAAGTGTTGACTTTAGACAGGTTTGATGGTACACGCCTTTAATCTCAGCACTTGGGAGGCAGGGGCAAGGAGGATCTCAGTGGGTTCAAGGCCAGCCGGTCTACATAGTGAATTCTAGGTCAGCCAGGGCTGCATAGTGAGATTGTTGCCAAACCAAAACAAACAACAAGTTGACCTGATTGGTTTTCATTTTATTATTTTTACTAAATGTTATAGATAATACTTCCTTTTAAAGGCATAGTTTCTTATGGAAAGTTTTTAGGAATATATATTAAATATACAGTAGAAGTGAAGCACAGAATTTACAGTGACTTGTAAATTACAGAGACTTACAAGTCTTAATGTTTCTAATTTCAGAATTGAGAAAATTCTACATCAATTTTTTTTTTTTTTTTTTTGAGAAAAGATCTCCTTATAGCCCCAGATGGCCTGGAACTTGCTATGTAGAGCCAGGCTGGTCTCAAGCTCACAGAGATCCACCTGCCCCAGGCTCCCAAATTCTGGGATTAAAGGTGTGTACTGCCACACCCAGCTCTACAAGATTTAAAAAGTTAAATTTTTTTTTCCAACATTAAATTTTGGTAGCTACATTTTAGCATTGTTGGAACAGATTCATATGTATCTCTCAATTTGTTTCAGTGTGGTAAATCTGAGTTTGGAGGTGGCATATATTAATTTTGATATTTCAGTTTCTTGTAATACAGATTTTCATTTTTATATTTAATTTTTTGTGTGTGTGTGTGTGTGTGTGTGTGTGTGTGTGTGTGTGTGTACACATGTATCAAACTCAGGTTGTCAGGCTTGATGGCAAGTACCTTACCAGCTGAGCTATCTCACCAGCCTTCAAAATGCAATTTTTAAAAACTTTTGGTTATTTTGAGACAGGGTCCCCCTATAGCCCCAGCTGACTGAGAAATTCACTATATAGACCAGGCTGGCCTTGATCTCACAGAGATCTGATTGCCTCTGCCTCCAGAGTGCTGGGACTAAATGCTTAGGCCACCATGCCTGGGTTTTTCAAAATGCATTTTTAAAAATTTAATGTTTTTAAAAAATATTTATTATTTTTATTTTATATGCATGAGTGTATTACCTGCATGTGTATAAATGCACCCATGTCATGTAATGCCCTGTCAGATCCCCTGGAACTGGAGTTACGGACAGTTGTTAGCTGCCATGTGGGTGCTAGGATTCAAACCCGGGTCTTCTGCAAGAACAGTCAGTGTTCTTAACCACTGAGCCATCTCTCCAGCCCAAAATTTAATGTTTTTTAATTTTTTTATTGAGCTTGTAATTTCATACGACTTTAATCAAGTTTAGACCCCCTCCCCTGTCCTACCTTCCCCATCCCTCCACCAGACCTCATATGCTCCACTGCACATGTTAAGTTCTAGCCAGTCAAGCATTTATACCCAGATGTCTTTCAGCGTAAATTCATCCACTGGATTCTAGTTAGCCCATCTAGAGATGGTATATAAGGCATACTCTCCCTCACCCAGTAGCAAGTAGTCTCCAGTATTTCTCAGTCTAGTACTACAACTGCCCATTTCTCTCCTCCCCTCTGGAGGAGTTGGTATGGGTCCTGTGCTCCATGCCACCATTGCCACAAGTTCACATTTTATGATGCATGATTGTGTACAGTTTTGGGATTACAGAGTAGTGTCCATACAAGAAAGTAGAAAATATACCCTTTCTATTTGTTTTTGTTAACATTGCTCTTTCTTTTTTCTTTAGAATTATTTAAGGAAAGTCATCTTAGAAACTGTCCGAAGGGGCTGGAGAGATGACTTAGGGGTTAAGAATACTTGCTGCTCTTCTAGAAGACCTAGGTTCCACTCCCAGCACCCACACGATGGCTCACAACTGCCAGTATGCATGTGGTGCACATACATACACTCAAGCACACACACATACTCATAAAATGAACTAAATAAATCAGCCAGGCATGGCGGCACACCTTTAATCCCAGCACTCAGGAGGATGAGGCAGGTGGATCTCTGTGAGTTCAAGGCCTACATAGTGAGTTCCTGGTCTACATAGTGAGTTCCAGGTCAGCTGGGGCTACAGGGAGACCCTGTCTCAAAAAAACTAAGAACAAAATAAAAAATAAAATGAACTAAATAAATCTTGAAGAATAAAAAGAAGCAGTCCTATAATGTATGCTAAAGAGGCTCTGATCCTACAACAAGACTGAGATGTGTCTGTACGCCCAGTTAAAATATTAGGTGATTTTTCCGGGCGTGGTGGTGCATGCCTTTAATCCCAGCACTCAGGAGGCAGAGGCAGGTGGATCTCTGTGAGTTCAAGGCCAGCCTGGTCTACATAGTGAGTTCTAGGACACATGGGGCTACAGGGAGACCCTGTCTCAAAAAGACCAAAAAGACCGAAAAAAAAAAAAAGTGATTTTGGCAAATGATCTCTTAAACTGTGATGGCATCCTGCTTTGTTCACATGCTGATTTTATAGCATAAAAAATAAAAAGGAACTCTAAACACCAAACTTTTGGGGGAAGGAAAGGGAAAAATGTGAAGTGGATATAGATGGAATTTTGTGTCCTGTTTATCTGCTGTTCAGATAATGAGTACTAAGCTCTAACTATGTATATAATTAATTAAATTCTGGAAGTGAAAGAAATTCTGCTTTGTGTATTAATATTTTTTTAGTCAAGTTACAATACATTCTATGTTTGATTTCTCCTAGGCATGGAACAAGGCAGCTGTAAGAAGTATGTGTACCTGAATAAATATTTGGGGGATGTTAATAATGTTAAAGTTGTCTATGGACCTGCTGCTCGATTGAGACCCTCTGATGTTCCAGACAAATACTATTCGTGTGAGTGTCTGTAATATCTTTAGATATTATTACAGCAACGTGTGTCTAAACTATAGGGAATTGAAATTATCAATTAAATCTTAAGTGTAGATATTTTGTACTAAAATGAATTTTGTGGGAGTGGAGATAGTCTACCACTTATCTAGTTGGTGTTCATGGATTAAGCACATTACTTGTTGATCTTAATAAAATTTATTGTTATAGCCTGTGTTTTTCAATTAATTTATTATTTTAATTTTATTTGTATGAGTGTTTAGCCTACATATATGTAAGTGCACCATATACATGCAAACCCACAGAGGCTAGAAGAAGGCATTGGATCCCCTGGAACTTGAGTTGTGTTGCTCACCATGTGGGGGTTGGGAACCAAACCTGGAATCTCTAGCGAGCAGCCAGTGCTCTTAACTGCAGGGCCATCTCTCCGGTCCCCTGAAGTCTGTGTTTTACTTACTAGTTTCATACAATGTTTATGATTGTATGAAAAATTCAACTGATTATTTAAGGTTAGATAATTAATTACATTACATTAAAAAAGCCCACATCATCTTAGAGTAATGTTAAATTATAATGAGGAATGAGGCCAAGATTATTAATTCAATAGGCATTTGATTCTTGTACTTAGAAATAACTTCCTTAAGCCAGTCCGAAAAGCAATAAGCATGCATCTTTTACACAGAGAAGGAGGAGAATTTTGACATTCTTTCTTGACTACATTGAAACACAAACTGCCAAGGAATGTTTAAAGACATTCGTTCTTTTACAGGTCAAGCTTATTTTATAACTGTTTCCAATTTCTGTTACCCATGTTTTATTTCCATTCTTGATTTTGTTTCTATTTTGAAATAATTAGTTTTGCAAAGGAAATAGAATCTTCTCTGAGTTAACAGATTTGGATTATATTTGGGCCTTGAAATGAAATAGGTTTCGCTGAAGAAAAATAGATTTTACTCTAGGAAAATGGTTAGGCAAGAATACACAAGGCTCCATTTTAACAACACAAATTTCTTATAGTTTTTTTTTAATCTGGAAAAGTAGAGCAGTCAACCCTCTATTTACAAAGTTTCCATGAAAGTCTGTTGATTCAACCAACTGTGGATCAAGAAATTTTTTTAGTGTTTTATTTATTATTTTTATTTTATTTGTGTGAGTGTATTGCCTGAATGTAAGTGCACCTGTGTCATGCAATACCCGAAGAGTCAGAAGAGAGTGTCAGATCTTCTGGAACTGGAGTTAGGGGCAGTTGTTAGCCACCATGTGGGTACTGGGAATCGAACCCAGGTCCTCTGCAAGAGCAGTCACTGCTCTTAACCAGTGAGCCATCTCTCCAGCCAGGATCAAAAAATTTTTAAAAAGGAAAAAAATAATGTCTCTTCTAAGCACATACAGATATTTTGCTTGTCATTATTCTCTAAGCAATAGAGTATAACACCTAATTACGGTATACTTGCATTGTTATTGGGCATTACAAGTAACAGAGCTGGTATAAAATATACAGACGCATGTGTGTAGGTTATATGCAAATACTGCATCATATTATATGCAACTTAGGCATCTGAGGATGTTAGTATCTGTGGGAAGGCTCTGAAAGTATTTTCCATGGATACAGAGGGGCCATTATATCTCATTATTATAAAACCTGTTATAGAAAACTTAGAGACTTTGACATTCTCTTGAGATTTTTGGGATGGGGTTGGTAATAGCTACAGCTTTGTTCAAATTGAGGCTCCAAATTTCCAAAATTAAAGCAAAAACTATGTACTAATTCATCTATATATGTACAATATATATTCTTCATCTGAGTAATTTTCTCTACTCTACATAGAAATAAAAAGAGAAGTAAAGGGAAATTTAGAAAGCTAGACAGTTATTGATGTGTAGCACAAAGTGCAGTTAGTAAATCCAAAGAGCTTACCTTTGAAATTCAGAATTTAAACTAATCAACTTGCCCTCTGTCCTAGTTTGTCTCTCCATTGCTGTGACAAAACACTCTGACCACTACCAACTTGGGGAGGAAAGGGCTTATTTTTTTATCTTACATCTCCTGGGTCACAGTTTATCAGGGAGCCCAAGGTAGGAACTCAGGGCAGGAGCCTGGAGCACAGGCAATGCTGCTTACTGGCTTGTTCCCCTGGCCCCTGCTCAGCCTGCTTTCTTATGCAACACAGGCCCACTTGCCCCGGGGTGGCACCACCCACAGTAGGCTGGACCTTCGCACATCACTCAACAATCAAGATGCCCTGTGGACATGGCCACAGGCCAGCCCAATGAAGGCAATTCCCCAACTGAGGTTCTCTCAACCCAGGTGTGTCAAGTTGACACTAAATCTATCCAGCACACCCTCTCTTTTGTGTCTCAGAGGCTCTCTTATTTGAAAATTCTAGAATTATCACTAAATTTTGAAATATACAAGGTAAAAAATGGACTTCTCTGTCCTTCACAACTCAGTTCCCCTCTCTAGAGAACAACCTTTAAATTTGGAATGTGTCTTCCTAGTTATTTTTCTGTAATGTACAGAATAAAACAATAAAACACACATTTTTATTGTTACACAGTAAAGTCATCCCTAGATCTAGATGGATAATTGGATAGATATTTGGATAGATGGGCATATGGATGGATATTTGAATGCATGGATTTATGTATGGACAGGCAGATGAACAGTCAGATAGATGAATAGGCAAGCGTATGGATACACAAATGGATGGGTATGTAGATGTGTGGCTGCTTTATCATGTAGCAATATAACACCATTTCTTGACCATCATTAAAAAATGGTCCCTAAGATTTGTCTGTTCTTTTCAGTGGTCATGAAATGATGTAATAAATGAGCTGTTTGAAATTTGCTGTTGGGGATGAGGGTATAACTCTATTTGTAGAGGGCATGCATTAATTAAAAAAAAAAAAAAGCTTTGGTATTTGATTAAAGAGCTTAACATTGTAAATTTTTGTATCATTTTTACTTTTACTTATAATATCATCGGTTACTAATTTGTATGTTTTCCTCCTTCAGTTAATTATGAAAACCTTGCAAGAAATCTTTCTGTGAGTATCTTTGCTTTTCCATTATTTAGTTACTGCTATTTTTTAAATATACATTTAGATAAAAGGTTCAATATCTGCTCTTTGGATTATATGTTTAGAATTTTTTTAGTATGTGGGCCAATTTGTAAAATTTACAGATTGTAAGATCTTTAAAAATCTGTCCCAAGCTGGGTATGGTGGTGGGTGCCTTTAATACCGGGACTTAGAAGGGAGAGGCAGGCAGATCTCTGTGAGATCAAAGCCAGCCTGGTCTGCATAGCAAGTTCTGGGCCATTTGGGGCTACAGGGAGATTGTCTCAGAAAAAAAAAGAATTCAAAAGTTTGAATTTGGAAATTTTTCATATTTTATTTTTTAGGATTATAAAATGAACATGATGGCACCATAAAAAATTGAGGAACAGAAAGAGGGGCATGACTGTAACAGCGTAAACACTGTTAACATTTCCCTCTGATTCTGTTACCCTTTTGGTGCTAGAAATTGAACCCAAGGAGTTGACCATTTTGTGCTATGCTGTGTCATTGAGCTACACTTCTATCTTGTTTTCTGCTCTTGTAAATACCTATTTTTATTTATTTTTAAGTATATTTGATTTACTTTTATCAATTGCATTACAACCTTTATCAAGTAAATACCCATTTTTAAAATAAATTTTTGGTGTTGGAGAGATGGTTCAGTGCTTAAGAGCACTGGTTGCTCTTGCAGAGGACCCAGGTTTAGTTCCCAGCACCCACATGGCGGCTAACAACCATCCATAATTCCAGTTCCAGGGGATTTGATGCCCTCTTCTGACCTCCATTTCATGATATGGGCTCATTTACATACATGCAGGCAATACACTCATATACATAAAATAATAAAAAAAAATAAGAGTATCAGTTTGAGGGACTGGAGAGATGCCATGCAAGTGCAAGGACTTGGGTTTGAACAGGGTTGAGAGAAGAAACACAAAATCACATGTGGTGGTCTGTGGGATGGCCCTGAGTAAGGCCCACTC